CGTGTTCAAACATCACTTCTGGTCCAATTACAGAACGCTATTTGGCAAGCTCAGAGTAAACACAGAGGAGTCAACGAACGAGTCACATCACATGACTCTGTTATGTCAGAGCAACCTTCAACTTTACCAGAGTGTTATATCGACGCACATGTGCAACAACAACAAGGCGGTGCGATCGTAGTTTAAAGATTTACCCTCCAAACATGAGACGTAATGATGATGAAGTAAGATTGGTCCCTGTTTGGCTGATAGTAAGATTGCGAGGTGGCACAAAAGCTGTAAAAATGAATTAATTAACCAGTTTGGTGATGAACGTGGCTGAATGAAACACATGGCTGCCCATGTGCTGGTCTCATAATGTCATCGTTTGCTTTTTGAGAGATCAATGTCAAAAGTTCAGTGACAAAAGACTTTTCTTTATATTCCTGGAGAACAATTATGACTGAATCTGCTGATCAATAAAAACACAGTCCCACCTTTACCTTTCAGTGCCTTCTGTCTTTTTGCTCTCCAGTAAATGACATGCATTCTTTATTTTTCATCTTTAGCTTTCTAGCGAACCATACAGGTCAGTCGGTTCACCACTTTGCTCCAAAACAAAAATATCTCAGAAACTACTGCGCTGGTTGTCATGAAACATTCATGATCCCTCCATAAATCCCAGCAACTTTAGACCTCTAAACTCTTCTACTGGTGATTTGCTCACAGGGAAAGAGTCCCAAACAGTCACATTTACTGTCTCTACCCATGAGGAAAACAAACAGGATTATTGATTGATACCTGTGTTGCCTTTTACCCTCCTCGTACCCCAAGGGTTGTCTCTGCTGCAATGTTTTCTTCTTTTGCTCTTGTTGTGAAAATGCAATATTACTCCAAACATATATAATCGTTTAAGTTTAAAGAATAAAAATAATTCATCTCGAGGGTTTATTCATTATATGTTACCCATTATAATGTTAAAGATCTGTGTGCTTGTAAGTCATGTTGTTCTGCAGGACAGGGGTCCTCTCCTTGGGATCAAACAGATGAGTGTGTGACTGCCAATAACCCGATAATCGATAACCAGGGTGAGCTGTGGATGTGGGGAAGACGGGCTGTAAAGATAAAGGGGGGCACATTCCAGACCAAATGAACAAATGGACAGATCAGAGGAAGATGTGAAACAGCTCGTGTGACATATTGTGCAACCTGATATGTGACTAAGACAAGGTATAAGACAAGGGTCTGAGGAAAAGGTCTGAGTCTCACCCTGTCTGATGCTGAGGAGAGTTTGACCCGGAGCTCTTTAGTGCAACATTCAGTGTGTGATTAAATTGATTGATTGAGATCGCGCTGAATTTGTTTCGTCCTTACAAAAGAGAATCTTCTCCAACACTCTTTAGTGATGACTGCTTTAGTGTTTTAACCATTTGTCTTTAGCTTTCTAGCTAGCAGCTCAGTGCCAAAGGTCAGTCAGTCCACTACTTTGTTCCCAACAGAAATATCTTAGAAGCTACAGGATGGATTGAGATGAAACACTCATGAATCCCAGCAGCTTTAATGATCCCCTAACGTCTCCCACTGAAGAGTCTCAAACAGGAACGATTCAGCTTCATCAGATGTGTGACTGGAAAGCTGCTTCCCTTATTGACAATCCCAACAATATACAGTCTTGGCTGCTTTTTAGCTTGGTCTCCACGTATACCCTATCTAAAGAATAAACGTCTAACACAAGGCTGAGATTAGGGGTTGAGACGCTCTACTGTGTGAGTGATTGCAATCAGATACAATCATAATTAGGATTAATGATCAATCCTTGTCCCGGTGGTGCCCTTTGCGCTCCATTCCCCAAGGGTTGCCTACAGAGCAGTATTTTCTCCTTTCACTCTTCCGGAAATGACATGTTTATTTTTTTTTGTTTTTCATCATTTACCACCAGTTTTGAGCTACCAGCGCACTGTCAAAGGTCAGTCGGTCCACCACTTTGTTCCAGACAGAAATATCTCAGAGACTGCTGCATGGATTGTCATGAAACATTCATGAATCTCGGCAACTTTAGTGATCCCGTAAAACCTTGTAAGGGTGTCTCCGACTTGTCTCATCTGACTTGGGCTGCTACCTCCATCAACTATTACCACAATATACACTTTGGGCTGGTGTTTTAGCTTGGTCTCCATGTATACGCCCCTGAAGAATGAACATCTGACCCAAGAGTGCGACTGGGAGTCGAGACACACCAGAATGATTGAACCAATAAGGAAGAAATACACTCACTGTAAGGATTATTGATCGATACCTGCATCAGTGGTGCCCTTTACCCTTCTCATACCCCAGGTGTTGTCTACACTGCAATCTTTTCTCATTTTGCCCAACAGTAAATGACACAGCGTCTTTGTTTTTCACCATTTATCTTTAGCTTTCTGGGTAATGGTGCAGTGCCAAAGGTCAGGCGGACCATCACTGTGTTCCAGACAGAAATATTACAGCAAACTACAGTTGTTGAAGTAGTTTCTTGTGTGCTTCCTGTATGTATCCTGTAATAAAGGAGTAAAGAAAAGAGGTATTGAAGCATCTTTCCTCCAACCAGCTGTCATCATGGCTGCTGTTCAGACACTAATACATCATTTTACTTAGTTAGGAAGCAAAATGTTGAACACCTAGTTTCCCTATCTACATTAGGTTCTTATCAACAACTGCTTCAAGACAGATTCATAACATTCAGCCAATTCAATTCCTTCCTATTGACTGTTTGAGATGGTTGGTGGAACAATGTCTTTGTAATGTCAGAGACCCAGTGCTTGGTATTATTGTCATTTAATTAGTGAAGGGGTTGAACCTACTGGTCAGCACCCTCTGGTTGCTCCTGCAGTCCAAAGACATGCATGATGGGTTAACTGGTGGACTGGTGACCTGCACTCCACCTCTCACCCAGTGTCAGTTATGATGGCTTCCTGCATTCTGTACAGGATGCTTCGGGTTTAGATAAAGGATGGATGGACTGAGATAAAGTCTTTTAAGCAAACTAGAGATCAATGTGAATGAGTTTAGGCGAACTGAAATCAATAAACTTTGTCCTAAAGAAAGTGATTTTTGGCCAAGCTCCACCTTGGTGTCGGCGTTTTGTTGGTCTAAAGCAGGGATGTCCAGTCCTGGTCCTCGAGGGCCCCAATCCTGCATGTTTTAGATGCTCCCCTCTTCCAACACATCTGATTCAAATGATCAGCTCATCATCAAGCTCTGCAGAAGCCTGATAACGATCCTGATCATTTGAATCAGGTGTGTTAGAAGAGGGAAACATCTAAAACATGCAGGATTGTGGCCCTCAAGGACCAGGATTGGACACCTCTGGTCTAAAGTGACATTTTTCAAGACTTGTGTGAGTACCGAGGTTTGGCTGTAAACATCTGAGACCTAGCAGGACCATGAAAGATTTATAGCAGGACAAGGAGCATATGGAAGATTCAAAATTTCACTCGTGTTACTTGAGGGGTAAAAATAAATGTAAATAGGGGCAAAAAAAACAATAAATTAGTAAATATTAAAACTTGGCATAGCATAAAACAACAACAACAAGCACATTGAGAAAATTTGTCTTTAATGCCTACAGATATGCTATAAGGACAATCAACAAAATTGTAAAAAAAAAAAAAAAATGTTGATGAAACAAAATATATGGACAAAATAGAAATACATCAAACTCAATATATAAATCTTCATTATTAACAGAAACGATCTATGTTAATCGATGATACACTAAGTCACTGCAAAAAAGAGTAAATCCCAGTAAAAGTCAAATTTGACATTTCACTCACTGTTAATCCACAAAGCAAACCATAGTGAACTCTTTTTTCTCCGGACAAACACCGGAAAGTTCGTGGAATAACACCCATGACCTGTGGAGTTTGCATAAAGTGATGTAACAAGCACGTGCCGTGCCAGACAGGACGGAAGATCCAGATGTGTCAAACGTTGCTGGAACACATCGCCGCTGGTGGGAATAAAGGTTACCAGCCTGTTAAATGCAACTCACAGAAACTGTTTTCATGAGGTAATAAAGCAATCACCTGTAAAAACACTTTCTCTAAAAGGCAGGTAAAGTCTTCTCAATCAGGTTGAGATACGAAGAAAATGAAAAAATCTAATTAAAAAAAACGTATATAAAGTACTTCGACAAGGTTATTCACATAATTATTTCACATTTTCAGAAGACGCTGAGATCACATTCACCGTTTGAGAACGTAAAAATGTCGGTCAGGCCACAGCAACAGTAACGTCGTACAAAAAAGTTTCTATTTTGCGGAGGGCATGGGCAGAAGCTAGTTACCTGACTGGGAACACGGGGGAAAGGTGAATTCAGAATCAGTAAAACACAGTAAGTAATGTGTTATATGGTTTTCCTGTCTTACAATAAACCTTTGGGGATGACTAAGCATCGGCACAATCGGTCTGCGTACAGTAAAGGTACTTTATTTGACAGTAATCTTTGCAATTCCAGAGATTTCTGATAATTTTATAACCAGTAATGTCTATTATGCATAACAAATTCTCCTATATAAGAAAACCCCTGCATCTTGCATAGTCTTGCTAGTTTTCAGGCAACTTATAAATAATCCAGCACATTGTCATTTCTGCAGTTTGGATTGTGTATGCATTGTAATAAAAGAAGAAGAAGAAGAAAAAAGAGGTTTTTGCTACCTTAGAATATTTTGTACTTGAAATGTGAATATCTGCTTTGCTAGACTAAATGGTTCGGATCTGAGTTGTTCAGGCAACACTGATTTCTCAGTAAATGCATAGGAAACCAGGACTTTTATGTATTTCAGCTGTTTCTTGTAGGACTTTTGGAGTAAAAATATGCACGTCTGAAAATGAGTTGCACATCAGCTGTAGTACCTGGTTGTGTCACCAGATGGAGCCTCCGACTGTTTCATGAATTGGGACTATTAGCTGTGTTTAACACTGTAGTGATCCAAGAAGCTAGTTGCTAGGATGAAAGGCAATTCCGTGTTGGCAGCTCAAAGGGTCATGGGAAAGTTGCTATTAAAATCTAAATGTTATTTCAGTTGTGTTTGAACGGCGTTTGCGTTGCTCAGAGCATTCTAGGGGTTTAGCTAGCAATGGGCCACCATGACAGAGACTTCTGTAGTGGTAAATGACCTCTAGCCACCGCTAGCATGCAGAGAGTTAGCAACACTTATTGTAAGTTGTATGAGCAAATGGCATTGTTAATGTTTTTGGATGAACTTGACATTTTCAAAGAAGATAAACTTGCTCAAACAGGGTTCAATTCAGTAGGATGCTTAGTTGAGCCAACTTGTACTGCTATGTTAGCACAATTAAATAAGATAATAAATAATAAATGGTTTTACTGCTCTCTTTATGTTGTATCAGCTAAGTTTTAGATTTGTATAATTTGAAATTTCTGGTAGTTATCACAAAAAGACATGTGAACTTGAAGTATGAAGTTAATAAGGATAAGCTTCCCCTTCATCACCCAAACGATTTATTCCAAGTTTTAAGAATTTTGGTAAACATGCAACCAACTGATATTTCTTAAGATTTTAAGACAGACAGGTTAAAAATGATTTTAAACTGAACATTCTTATTCATTTTTACAATATGTTAGGTAGAAGTATTTTGTTGTCTTTGGCGTCAAGCTACTTGTCGTCCCTGGTTTTTCCAATTCCGCAAAATAATGAAGTGTTACTCACATTTGGGTTAATACAAGCAGGATTGTTCAGAACCACCCAAAAAAGGCACAAAATAATCTCTGAAAGTCTCACAACAAGAGCAATACTTCATGTTACTACCTGACGCTACCACATGTAGTCGTCTTGTATTAAAACTGTACAACACTGTTACTGCACAATAATCGCTTTGAGTATAGAGCTGTAGGTGTTACTGCTATTATCTGAGCTAAGGCTGTTCAAGAATGAATGGTGAGAACAAACCAAATGTTCTCCAAATATCTGACACATCTTCCTCCAGCTTGTTCTCAGATTCCTAGTTGGACAGCATCATAACTGAACGGTGCATCTTGCCGACACTGACTGGCATCATGTTTTCTTGATTTTTGACCTTTGAAGTGAACAAGTGGTTATTGGTTTTGACACAAAAGAAAGGAAAAAAAACAAATAAAGTACAGTTGTTCTGCTCAGTGACCAAAGAGTGCTGACACTGTACCATTACCACATTGGGTCCAGTATGGAAGCAGCACAGCGCGCAGGCGTCCGTTGCATTACGCAGTGGTGTGGCCGTCCTCAGACATTTTAAATAGTGCTCTCCTTGTCCGTGTCTTCTTTGTTTTTGGCAATGTTGATATTAGCGTGTCCATTGCTCACTCCGTTACCCTCCAGTCCATTTTCTTTGGCCTGCTTCCTCAGCGCTATCTTCTTCTGTTTCTTGACAATTTTGAGGTAGAGGCCTCCCCACAGCATGTTGGATACGCAGTATAGTCCGGTAATGAGCCCCAAGAATGTCATCCTGGAGGTGAAGCACATTACAACAGGTTTAGTGTAATGTTTTCATTTTGTATTTAACTTTAAACTGGACCATAATTTACAAAATGAACATCACGTTATGTTGAAGGAGACTTGAAATTAGTGACTGAGACCATAAACTCATTAGGAAAATGTGCACTGAGGTAACAAACCAAGTGAGAATTAGAATAATTTTCTCATAGACTTTCATGCAATCTGACTTCTTGTTGCAACCAGAGGAGTCACCTCCTGCTGGCCATGAGAAAGAATGCAGGTTCAAGTCACTTCTAGTTCTTCACTTTTCATACCTGGAGGCTACATTAATAATTTGATATATAACGCGTTGCCAAACTATATGGGAAATTCCTCTGATATATTTGTTTTTGGATACATTTTTTGCTACACAAATTCCTCCATGTTTTTACTACTATTGTGCAGAATTAAAAATGGCCGTTTTGAAACCATGCTGCATTAAATTATCTGCAGTTCAGCTGAAAAGTCCCTAAATATGACTTTTGGGCAAATCTTCTTGGTAGCACCAAATTTTTTGACCAGTTTATTAGAAACACTTCCTTTTTGGCAATTTTTTTTCAATGAGACATGTAAAATAACGTAATTCTGATCAAATATCCCAATTTTTCGTATACATTTTGTTAGGTTTCCCAACAAAACCAGACATCACACATGTTTAGTCCAGATGCCATTGACAGTTGGAAGTCCAGTGATTGTTTCTTTTTTTTTTTTACAGCTTATTTCTATGAAAATGGTTCAGTTTTTTATTTATTTTTTTGCCAAAACTGCATCATTTATTTAGAAAAACCTACCTCTTTCAAACATGCTTGTAAGTTTTGGGGTTCAGAGGTAGGTACTCAGTTCCTTAAGACTTCTAAAGGTAATCTGACTTAACTTCTCGGACAGTCGTTGGATCTAAATATCCTTCCTAAATGCTTAAAACAGACGTTCTCGTGATACATTCAAGGACATTGGTAGCGTTGTGGTTTCACTGTACCTAAATGCGTTGGCGTCATAGAGTCGACACGCTCCACGGCCGCCACACTGCTTACTGCCCCACTTCAAACAGGTTCGGTCGATCAGCGCTCCGAAATATATGGGCGGAGGAATCCCACCTGAAAACACAAAGTCACTCGTTACACAGTCGTAAGAACGCACAAGTTGTGTTCATGTCAATAAGAACTGTTTCAGTACTCACCCAGAGTCCTGACAATCAGTGTCTGCATACCCAGAGCCAGCGACTTCAGGTCCGGCTGTATGGACCTGAATTATTGACATATTAGGTGTTAAAATGAGCCTCTGAGCGTCAGAGAAAACATCAGTGTGTCGTTTAGTGACGCTGACCTGAGCAGTACGATGTATCCCGGCGTTCCCCCGCAGGCAGAAATGAAGGACCCAATGACGGACAAAGCCATGTAGATTTTAAATTTGCTGTCGCAGTCGTTCTTCCTGGGACACTGGCCCAACACTGCAGACATGTTTGCGGTCGGGGTGTTTATCTCGCCAATGCAGGAGCAGTTGTGGAACACCTGAAGATGAAAGAGAGGATGTAGTGTTGAACAGTTGGTTTTAACTTGGGGCTGTAGGAGGGTTTGTGCTGTTTTTATCAACTGTTGCTTTCGGGAAATCCAAGTTTGGGTTCCAAAATTCAACATTTTGTTTAAAGGGTTTCAGTTCAGTTTTATTTCATCATCTGAGGATACTTCTCAAGATCTTACATTGTTATATTGTACAGAAAACCCAATGAGTTTAAGGATTCCCTTCAGGTAAGCACTTCAAAACTCTCTCAGACCTGCAGTACAGTACCTTTAACTCTCTGACACTTTCATTTTATTTAAAAGGAATTGATTTTTCAAGCTAATTGAGGTTTATTAGTTTGCAGGATGTCCTTTAAATTTAGTAGGGGATGTGCCAAAGGCTGCTACTAACAATCAAACATTGGGCTTACAAACATATAGTGTATGCAAAGTTAGTAGCTACATAAAGGATTTCCAAATGCAGCATTGCAATGTGGTGTTTTTAGGGAATATTTTGCAGAAATTAGCATCTATGCATTGATTCTGGTCTTGTTTCTTGGCACATTTTCTGAGTGTCAATGCAAAATCGTCAGTCTGGAGCCTTAAATTTCTGTTTTTCTACCTGTCAAAAAGTTAAGAACAACTCTGTTTTAGAATCTTACAGCACTTTGGTTCAACTCCTGTTGCTTTTAAATGGACTTTATAAATAAATGTGACTTCGACTTTGACTCTTGAGCGTCTGTAAGTGGCCTCCTCACCATTTCCCTGCCGGTGCCGGTGGAGGTCTGGCAGCCGGCCAGGCAGGGCGAGGCGTACGTCATGCCGTTGTAGGCGCACACCGGGTCCCAGTGCTTCATCGAGCAGGAGCAGCCCATGTTGCACTGCGACAGCAAAGTCTGGGGGTTGTAGGACACATGAGGAGCCCTGGTGTGCAGAAACACGAGAAACAGTGGGTTTGTAAGACTTTCATGAGACTGTTTAGACAGATTTCAGTCGTGTGTGTGTTGCACTCACCCCTGGTACGACACTGTGAGACCGGCCACCTCCGCGTTGTCACACTGGATGAAGACCTGAATGGAGAGCATGCAAAAGGCCCCGATGGAGGCAGTGATGGACACCCTGGCTGCTCCGATGACGCCCAGCTTGAAACGCTTCAGCACAAAACCTCCGGTGATGATGCCCAGAGCCACAGCCGGCAGGTTTAGAATGCCTGGACGCATAGACAGATGCAGTAAAGTGGGATTATTTCACAGCACTTATGAGAAAGTAGAGCAATCTGTTCTTAACTTATGGAGTTGTTTCTCTTATAAACTATCAAAAAGTACCGATGAGAGTATCGTTAAAGTACCGGACTGATATCTGTAAAAGTCCTGCAGCAGGATCTCTGATGGGAAAAGACTTCATGCTGTAAACTCGTGCTGCGTTCAAGTGCTGCTCAGAAAAGGGCCACATCAAAAGCTATTTGCATTAAAACGGTTCTGTTCGGCAGCCAACTGTTGTTCTGCGACGACTGAAGAACAATCCATACTCTGTTTGCCGGTAAACAGTCGTTAAACGCTAATTATAGCGCGCAGGGAGAAGCTCTCAGAGGCCTACTTACATGTTAACCCGGCGTTATCACACACAATCACACTTCCCTTCAACAACAGTATTGTCTGAGCCGAGCAGAGCAGAGCGGAGCGGGGTGGACAGGCCTCGTACCTATGAGGAAAATGGCTTTGGAGGCCGACTGGCCGAAGGTTTGCTCCATGAACTTGGGCTTGAAGGTGATCATGCCGATGAAGCCGTTGACGGCCACCAGGTAGGTGAGGACCATCAGGGAGAAGATGCTGTTCTTGAAGAGTCTCTTCAGGGATGGAATGAAATCTGGAGAGAGATCAAACAGGTTTAGTGAGATTAGTGTTTTGCAGAGCACCGGTACTGATGATGGCTGTTATATATATATATTTATATATAAGTTTTAACGAAGTTGTAGTTATAGGTTCAAACTCTCTCTCCAAGTCCCTGTGCTTGGTTTTGAGTGTAATTCATTTGCCAAAAATGAGAGAAAACACAATAAATAAATAAATTAAATCATTTTCTATAGATTTTGTGATAATATTGTGACTTATGTTGGCCACGATATTCAAATATTGGAAATCTGATAATACAACAGCCCTGATTCACAGAAAAAAGCATTACTGATGCAAGATACATGAAATTAATCAAATTGAACTCGACATGTTGTGCAGTGTGGCAGCAAAAGGTAAATTAATCTGCACTTTTTTTCTGCAAGATTACTTTGAATTTTAAATATTTAAAAATTTCTCTTGACATTACGGTAATATTGTTTCTGTGAATTTGTTCAGCCACGATAATTGTGATCTGAAAGTCTGACATTATGACAACTCTAATATTACAAAACGTTTTATTTCATATAATTTCCACATTCCTATGTCTTCACATTTTTGCAGCACTGATGGGTATATGACATTTTTGTCATAAAGCATGCTTATATCTGTTGATAATTATATATATATATATATTACCTGGGCTAATATTAGCTTAATAATTCTTGTAATACCTAATTTTTTTTCTTTTTCTTCTTTTATCCATAGAAGAATGTATATATAGAGAATCTTTGTACTTTCAACTTTCCGACTGTCCATGAATGAATACCATGTGGCACCTACCAAATTTGAGTTTAAAATCACAACATTTCTCACTTATAAATTTGCCACAAATATATCCTTTGCTGCACGCAAATTCTGTAAAATACAAAAAATTCTTCCCTCTTCCACACAACCATGAAGCCATCAGTGACTCAGCTGAGATCAACGGTCACATGACAAAAAATTCAGGGACTTTTTGACTGAACGACAGGCAGCGTTTATACCAAATATATAAAAGACAAGAATAGAAACAAATATCTATAGTGTGCAGAGCAACCATTTCCCCCAGTAGTAGTGAACACATGTGGCCACTTTGAAAACTGTACTTTTTGTAAAATAAATAAAATCAACTTCTTGTTTATGGCAATTGACCTTCATCACGTGACATAACAGACATTTTTCATTCTCTCCAGCTCTCATCATGGTTGTGCTGCTTCCACAGAGGACTTTGTGTTGCATTGACATTATATTGAAGATGTTTCTCTTGTCCAGATACTACAGTTATTTGTTTTGAGTGTTTTGCTATCTGGGCTCTTGCGTCATCCGGGTCATACATGATTGATAATTAAACACATGAACCCTGACAGCAGTGACACAGCTAACGACGTTTCACCTTTTTATGTTTACGACCTTCCTTTTTCTAGATAAACCCGTTTCCAGAGGCCTTTAGGGGAGGCTAACCACTACATCTCAGCGGTTACCTTTAGCCAGCTCCTTGAACGTGACCGGCTTCTCCTCGGGCTCCTGACTTTCTTCTGGCAGGAAGTTCTCTTGTTCCGTCATCATGGCCAGTTCGGTGCTCTTACTCCGGCTCTGCTCCTTCCCCTGCTTGGGCAGAGACTTGGGCAGGAACCAGAACGGGATGCTGGACATCAGAACCACGGTGCCGGTCACGATGAAGCCCAGCCACCAGGCTCCCACCCAACGGGAGTCCTTGTGGGTAATGGTGATGGTGTCTGGGGGGGAAGAAGCAGGTTATGGAAGAGGCTGTGTTTGTGGGACTGAGTCGGGTTCACCGAGTCCTCCTGTTCGACAACAGCTCCGGCAAACTGTGACCTGCTGTGTCAACAGGAGGAAATGTTGGGAAATCCTCTGCTTTTGCTGTATATACGAGGTTCAAGGGGGGAAAGGTGAACTGTTTTTACTATAAGGCTCTTTCAGGGGGGTTATGAGATGTAACTTACATAATGAAGTCACTGGAGGGGTGTCGCAATACACCAGCATTGGCAATAAATGAAAAATTAAATGTTGAAATTCAACTTAACAGAACAGAAATGATTGAATAATGTAGCATCAATAACTATCTGCTAAAATTAGAACAACATGCAGTACAGTTATAGATATTAAGTATAATTAAAGGCACTAAACACCCAATAAGTCGATTTTTTTTCAACTTCTCTGACTATATTTATCCTTATTTTTGAAAATCTGACAACACAGATGAGCTTTATTGACACAACACACTCCAGAATTACCCAGATGACAGTCTGTGGTGTTGCAACACTCGGTACATTCATGTGTTTCGTACCTAAGTCCACGGTTCCAATGTCCACGTAGATCTTAGCGAGAAAAGAGCCGAGCATGAAGCCGAACATGGGGCCCAAGATTCCCACCGTGTGGATGCAGGCTGGAGGAATGAGAGAGAAAGGAAGAGATTAAAAAAAAACTATGTGTAGAACAGTAGGATGCACTGTAAAAAATAAAAATAAATAAATCCTTATATACAGAACATTTGACAGTACTTCCTGTTTCATTTTGGGTTTTGTTTGTTGTTGTTTTTTAATTGTAAAAAAAGTTTGAAAATTACAGACAAAATCTTATAATTTTGCTGCTTGACATAATTAAACACAAAAACTGTAAAAACACTAAAAACAGTGAAGTAAAGCTGCTTTTATGATTGCTAATGTATTTATTTAAGATTTTTCACAGATTTTTTTTCAGTATTTTTCTATTTTCTTAAACTATGTACAAATGTATGTAAAATTCCAAAAAATATTTTTTATAAAATATGTAAAATAACAGTACTAAATGTGTATTTTGGATTAATCTCTTACTAGCTTGATATTTATGCTTTCCTTTACATTGAAACTCTGTAATGCTGGAAATATATATTTAATCTTATTAGTTTATTTGTTGATATAAAAGTCTTATTTTGTAATATCTGTTACACAGTGAAAGCCATTTTTAGTTTTCCGCTTCCTCCTGGGGGCATTCAGTTAGTTAGTTAGCTAGCTTGCTAGCTAGTCAGTCAGCCAGTCAGTCAGTCAGTTAGTTAGTTAGTTAGTTAGCTAGTTAGCGAGCTAGTTAGTTAAATTGGTTGAAATGATAAATATTTACCATTTTGTGGTACATTTTCAGCAGCATTTACTTTATTTGCCTTCCAGAACAAGATTTTTATTTACCAATGAGCAGATTTTTAACAAAAGTGTAATAATTTAGGCCAAATTTGTTAAAAGAAAAAAAACCCAAAACTTTATTAGTCTATTGAAGGTGTTTTAACACAATAATTTAGACGAGGATCTAAATCTGTAAAATAAAAGCATTTTTGTGCAAAGCATTCATGAAAATGTTTATGAATTTATTGTTATCGCACTTCATTTGAATTTAAATTTACATTTTAGGTTTAAATATATGGTTTTTGTTTGCCAGTCGTTTGACCATTTTTACCAGATGTTTGGTTTTTTTACAGTCTGTTTTATCTCCGGGGTCACTGGACGACTAAGTGGTCCAAGAGAGGCATACAGTACAACAGCTCCACAAACTGGGACACTGATTCACTAAAATGTCACAGAGAAGACGAAGGACAATCTATAAAGCAGCAGAATGGCAGGAAAAAAGAAAAGGACGAAAGGTTGGAAACTCTGTCAAATACCACAAAAACGAGCGATAACGTGTAAAAAAAAAAAAAAGTGACCGACCCAGATAGAAAGGGGTGTTCTCTTCTCTGGAAAAGTCGTCCAGATAGGAAACCCCCAGAGGCATGATGGGAGTCTCTCCGATTCCACGCAGCATGTTGCCCAAGAAAACGTAGATCCACATGGACGAGCCGGCGGCTTTCTCACAAGCTGAGAGGACGACAACCCGACTTAAAGGCTGAACACGGCAACAAATGGAACAACTAATCTGATGCAGTAAATGTGCCGAATACCTGTTTTGGCCGCGGCGTCTGGTGTCTCATCGAGATCAATCAGGCTGTTGTTGGACAGACACGGCAGGATGTTCTCACTGCTGTTGATGTTGGTGCTGTGAGCCACGCTGGTCTCATATTTATACCTGAAAAATATCAGGAATCAGTGCAAAATTTTCGTAAAAACACCAAATGTATACGTATACTAGCATGTGTTTTAACATTTCTGGGTGGCAGGGAAGTTCTGGATGGTGGAAAACATGCATCTGGAGCATGTCAACCAAACAAATTTAATGTAAAAAGCAGCAAAATTTCACACTATTAATGGTAAACGTGCTGCCAAACTCACTGTATGTGTTTTTAAGGAGATATCGAGACACGATTCTGCATTGTAACTCTATTTTTAAAGACATTTCATCACAAGTCCGCCTTATGACGTCTACTGTCTTGAATGAAAGGCCCACAAGACATATACGAAGTAGTCGTGTACTAACGGTCCCTGGAAGAAGTGAGGCAGCGCTGTCAGGTACGATCCAGCCGCCATGATCACACAGCCGATACCGATGAGCCGGGGGCGATGCAGCTTAGCGCCAAAGTAGCTCACAAAGGCGATGACCAGCAGGTTGCCTGGAAAGAAGAAGAAGAGTTTTTAGGGGTCTTCAGTTTGTTGTCGTTAATGACTCAGCTGCAAGTAACAGTGACTTCGCAAAAATTCTGGGACTTTTTGGCTGTACTAGATTGAACTGCAGGCAGTGTTTAAAAATGTACAAAGTAAAATATGTATAGAATATAGAGGCAGCATTTTTT